AGTTCCTGTCGAACGGCTTGCTCCTTGTTTTCAAATTCTGAACCAACCCGACGCCGAACTAGCACAAGGCAAAGCATCTTTCGTCCAACGTACTGCATTGAACGACATCCTTCGGCAGGCAGACCAGGCGAACACACCGCATCAGGGTCCAGGACGAATCTCGCAGTCACCGTTGTGCTGCCGAACGTGCGAAGCAAAAGTCCTTGCAAGAAGGCTTTCCATGTGGACGCAGTCTCGGCGGATTTCTTCTGATTCGCTGATGTTTGGCACCACCGGGGTAGAAGGAAAGCAAATGCGAGGCTGCTCAAGCTGGGCTAAGGGAAGATGCGGGTCTCCGTGTTCACGGTGCTGTTGCTCTTGGACTTCTGGGCCTTGGCACGCCGCACGTGACAGTCACTGGGCCACCGCTGAGAGGCGATGGCTTTCTCCCACCACGTCCACTAATTCTGATACCATTGGTGCGGGGTTCTTGGGCAATCTTTGCCAAACGCTTCCAGATGCAAGCTTTTGCAGCTCCAGAAGACACGCGCCCCATCCCAAGGGTGCTCCAACTGATACACCGTGACTTGCAGCATCTGGCCAGATCCATGGATGGGAATGGGCACTTCTTTCGTGACAAACTGGCTCTTGAAAGTCTCGAGATTCGTAACAACGCCCTGCGAGTCAACAACGACTTTGGACGAAGTGCCATTCTCGTCGTCGCACACTACAACATTGAACTCCAGCAAGTCAACGCACCAGTGCTGTTGCCCTTCCGCTGACGCCACGTACGATCCGTGAGCTGCATCCTCCAACAAGAGCCATCCTCCCGCAGATGGTTCCAAGATCACATCCTCGCCCGTGGCGCTGTTGTGCAACACCTGGCGGTCCAACTTGAGGTTTTTGTACAACGTCAGCTCACCGGAGCGCTGCATTTACGCACCAAAGACAGAACAGAGAGTGTGACAGGGCATCCCCGAAACCATGGGCAGCGACAGCTGCCAGTCAGGACTATAGATTATGCTACTGTGACGCCGGCACATTTTGGGACAGCTTGCCTGATGCAAGAGTCATTTACTAAAACGCGGCTCTGAAAACCCATGCCCGAAATAGGGTGGCCATTAAGAGTATAGTGGCATGCAGAGCAACATGGTGACTGTTGGGACATATTCATCCAGCTTCAATCGCCGACTCCTAAAATTTTGATGCTGCGCAAAAGGCAACAAGTTGAGCAAGTCACCTGCTGCCACGAAGCCAGCCTACAAAACATCAACTTGAATGCCATCAACAAGCTCCGGAGACCTGAGGAATGACATGTCGGCTTCATGCCAGCGCAAACGCCGTCAGACAGCAGTGCGAGCAGTTGTTTCGGGCGTGACGTTCGAGAAGTCGGAGCTGCAACCTTCTTGTAACACGGCACCCGGCGGACAGAGCCAAGTACCAAACAACTGTACTTTACAGAACAGCATCGCTGTACTGCTACCCAAAGCCCCTACTCGACACACGGCTGGTAGCAGTACATGCTGCCATGTGGAGACCCTAGCACTCAAAGTGCGAAATACTGCGTGAAACTTTTTATGACTGCTTCTGAGCCTGAGACAATCGTGCAGCCGTGGCCTTAAGCATCTCAGACTTCTTAGGGGGCAAAGTAGGTGGAGCTCGTGTCTGGGCACTTGCAGCTCCAAGCTCAGGAGATGCTGCGTTGCTTGCCGGACTCGTCGTCGGGCTTGAAGAAGGAGCGGACACGGCGGAGGAAGACTTCGTAGGAGTCGGCTCTTCCATGTCATCCACGTCCAAGAAAGACTTCGAAAGTCTCGCCTGGAACTTCTCGTGGGCAGTGAAGAACTTGACCAGGGACAGCTTCATGCATGCTTCCTGCGGGTTGACGAGGGTTGCGTCCTTCACACTCCAGTTGTTCCAAATCTCCCACGTTCCATCCACGACCAGAGAACGTGGCAAAGCCACTTCGTCCTGACCACAAGCCACATGCGTGAAACGATGCTTGGCAGGATCGGCATTGTCATCCGGAATCGCTGGGCGGAGCGCGTAGGAACCGGATGTCTCCCAATCAATCTTGCCCTCGGCGTCCACTTGAAGCGAGCTCAGCTTGGAGCCACACTCACGGTAGCGATCCTCCATGAGCTCCTTCCACTTCACCTTGTCGTGGTACCCGATTTTGTCGCTCAATTCGATTTCGCATGCGTAGCAAAGCAACTGAAGATGAACTTTGCTGTCCTTCTTCCCAAACACTGTCCACGCACTTGTCGGCAAGAACATCTCTGACAGTTCGCGCAGCCACGGCAGTATGAAAGACTTCGGCAGCTTGTTGACGAACTTGATGCCGGAGTGAAGGCGGTCAAGCTCTGAGCGTGCCTTGCCGCCGCCGGAGGGAAACATGTCCGACATCACTGCAATGTGGCACGCCGCCTGCAGCTTGGCAGGCTGATTCTCCAGTTCGGCAACTATTTCGTCAATGAGGCGCCGTTGACGCAAGCCTTCATCCTCCGCAACGATCTGCATCAGCTCTTCGCCCACTTTAGACTTCTTGGTCTGCAACTTGGCATCGCTCAGATGACGCCGCTTCTTCGGAGCCATTGGCACGCAAGCAAGTCGGAGGAAAAAAACGGCCCAACTCCTTCCTACAACCTGTTTCCCGCTGCAATATCATTCCTGAACACGCATAAAAACCCTGGTGGCTGACACTCGCTATGAGCCTCGCATCTTCTGAAAAGTTCGCAGCTCCAGAGCCGCAGTACATTTTTCACGACAAAAAAGGCTGCCCCGTATGAACCTTCCAGCTCTTCCGTGTGCCTCGGGCCAAACACTTCCCGATATCACCGTTCCAAGCAGGCTCAAATTGTGCCCACGTGCCGTCCCCGACAGGCGACTTGGATGTGTGAAAGACGTGCCTCTGCTGTGGAATCAACCCTGCAAACAAGAATTACGTAGGAATGACGATGGTGGGTACTGAACCTGCTTTGCCTTGAGTATTCGCAACTGCTGTCTCTTTGTTTCATTGGGAAAGCCTGGTGTCTAGATAATACTCACCAATTCACAACGCGAGGACGGCAAGTTGTGACATAGAGTTGCGTTCACCAACCCTACCTGCTTCGGACACAAGATTAGCATCTACCTTCGGCTCTCAGCTGTGTTACGATTGTGCTTACATGCTGTAAGAACGACAACATCTGTTTCTTGCCCAGAACTTGCGCTAGTTTCACAAGGGCTCAGTGTCTTCCAATGCTCTTGGTTGCAGCTGTTCCATGCAAGACTTTACCTATCTCTCCGGTCCAAGCTACGCGCATACTTCGTGTAGCTTCGCTAAAAGACGTGTCGTAGCAATGTCGCCTAATGATTGAAATTGCACTTCCTCAGCATGTCTAGACACTGTTACAGAACTACACATAGAACTTTACTGACAGCAGCTGCTTGCAACAATTTCTTCCTCCCAAGAACATTGATTCGGCTACAATAAAACAACCTCTAGGGCGCAAAGTCTGTTTACGTACCGACAACTAGGACTGCGTACGAATGCTTACCCACGAAGAAGGGAGGCGAAGACACTGTCTAGTGAGATCCTTATGTTTATGTGCTGCGTTGGCTCCTGACTAGTGTCTTTCGAAATTTTGTAGTCTTTTCGAGCGGTTATCCGCTAGTTCCTTTTCGAGCGGTTTGCTCCTTCTTCTGAGATTCCCTAGTTCCTTTCGAGCGATCCCTTCTTCTGAAATTCTCTAGTGCCTTTCGAACGGTTTGCACCTTGCTTTCCACTTCTCTAGTCCTTCTTCCAGATTCTCTAATCTTTTTAAAATCCCTAGCTCCTTTCGAACAGGTTTGCTCCTGGTTTGCAAATTCTCTAGTCTCTTCGAGCTATTTGCCGGTTTGCTCCGTTTTTCTGAAATTCTCTCTCTAGTTCCTTGCGAGGTCTCTTGTCTCTTTCGAGCGGTTTGCTCCTGGTTCTCAAATTCCTTCGCCCTTTGTGAGCAGTTTGCTTTTTGTGACAACATTTTTAATCTTTTCCAAGCGGCTTGCTCCTTTTATCTGTCCATTTCGAGCGGTTTGTCCTTGTTTTCAATATCTCTAGTCTCTTTTGGACGGTTTGCTACGTACTTCTTCTGAGATTCTCTAGTTCCTCGCGAGCGGTAGCGGCTTGCTTTCTCTAGTCTACTTCGAAATTATCTACTCTCTTTCGGGCGGTTTGCTCCCTGTTTTCACATTCTCTAGTCTCTTTCGAAGTAGTCTCTTTTGATCGGTTTGCTCCTTCTGAAATTCTCTAGTTCCCTTCGGGCGGTGTGCTCCTTGTTTTCCACTTCTCTAAGCTCTTTTTCTTCGAAATTCTCCAGTCTCTCTATATTCGAAGTTAAACCCTGCAAGGACCAAAGCCTGAGCATTTTAATTCGACTTTAAACCTTGCGGCGAGGACAATTTGCAGTTTTTAATTTGGATTTAGGCTGCAGTCGGCACTCCCGGATTAAACTCGAATAAAACCCTTGCGTTGGAAGGGGGCTTTAAATCTGAATTTAAGACCCCCCAGCCATACCGGGACAAGATTCAATTTGGAATTAAATTCGAATTCCTTAGCCACCGTAAATGACCGTAAAGCACTGAAGTCGAATCTAAGCCCTCCAGCCCGGTACCTGAACCCCACACACACAAAAGGCATAATATCGAATTTAAATCCACGTTAGTTGAATCTGAAATTCTACCATAATCGGGTATGTACTACTGCTGCATCTCGGGTTGGTTGCCGGCTTTTCCAGTCTCAGGGATGACCCGCCCGGGCCTGTCAGGAGAGCCACCACACTCCCCAGCACCACGCACGCTGTCTCCTCGGACATCGTGATGGACACGACTCCGCTTAAACTCTAAGGACCAAAGGACCATGTAACAGTGGAAGTTTGCCGTGAAGCCAGATTGGGGAAACTGCCGCGTCCCGCCTGAACTCTAAAGCTGCAGCGACTGGCCCTCACATGGCTGAAAGGAACTCCAGCCACAAGCAGGGCCATCAAATCGGCAGGGTAACATCAATGCACCATAAGGCGGGCTGCATTCTGACTGAGCACCTCTGCAAAGTAGGCCACCTTGGACATGATTGGGTCAAAGCTGAGGATCTGCCCAGTGTTTCGCAGGGTTGCGGGTTTCATGGAATCGATGGCATGCTTGGGACAGGATTGGCTCAAGGGCTGTGTCGTGTGGCTCAAACCGACAAGGCTCAAGGACTGATGTATTTCTTGAGCTGCTTGTGTTTGATCGTCGGCATCTTGATAGTTTTCAAAACCGTTGCTTGCGAAGCATTTTTGGCATCCCACCCGCTTTCATCTCGAGAGTACCTAAAACGGAAGTTCTGCGCAGAGCTTGCTACCCCGCTGCTACCGACATGCTCTTCAAGCGACAACTTTTCCGTTTCGGTAGGTAAATGGCTGAGATCCGCATACGACCACCCCTTGCGCAGCTCTGCATTTGTTCGTGGAGCACTGCTGCCTGCCACAAGCGCGTATGTGAGAAGAGGGGGGCAGGCTGCGACGAGAATGGGTCACATTTGCTAGGGACAAAACATGTCAATTCCTTGAAAGCCACCTTGAGATAACCAGACTCGTGCAGAATCCTCGGAAACGTGCGCGGCGTATGACCGACTGACTGTCTGATGGCATGCTTTGGTAACTCGATGCCAGGGAAGAAACAGCCAGGCGGCCGGGACGCTTGAACCCCATGCCACAAGCTTTCAAAACCTACTGGAATATCCGCCTCCCACCTCCCAGCGACACAGAAGGACCGAGCTCCCGGCATAGTGGGTGACCTGGCTCATGTCCGCGGGCTCTTGCCAGCTCAGGTTGCCTCCAAGATGGCCCAGGTCAAGGTCGAGATCCTGGTGCCCAGAGCCCATGACGGCCCATGACTGCAGATTGGGTCCTTCGGGTGAGCTGCTACCGAGGGGCAAAAAAAGTCAAGTTGGAGGGTCGTGCAACCTGAGACACAGCTCAGGCAAGAGTGTGTTGTGGGGGAAACTTAGATCTTGGGTGCAGTGGGTACAAGATTTAAGCTCTGTTCAGGTGCTGCTTCGCCCGCCGCTCCACAGAACAAACTAAGAAAGTCCCGGAGCTGCAAACGGTCGGGGCGGTCCGTTCATGGCATTCGGAACATGGCTTCAACGCAAGCCGTAAGTGTGATGCTTCCAACATGTTCACATCCTCATGTTGAATTGGGCATTAATGGTTTCTGTCCAAACCCTGTGGCTGCTACGGGAACCGGTAGATATTCAGCCTTGTAGACCTTCATAACTCACGGGCCCGAAATTTGAAACCATCAGGACAAACCCGAGAAAGCCAGCAAGATTTGGGGAAATTGCCATGATTCTTAATGGGAAGCGCTGAGCTAGAGGTTGTCGGGCATAGGAGCCCGATCCCGACCTGAGGACGGTTGTCTTACAGAAGTTACAGAAGGGCCATGTCTTCGCCAAGGGAGCCGTGTCGTGAATGGCAAGGCTTGCCGGCGTCGTCTGCTCTGCGAGCTCGGTCACGGTGTAGACGGCCAGATGGCTAAAGCCCTTGGCAGTTCATGAAATAGTGCTCACAATGCCGTGCCTTCTGGTCTACAGTTGGGCATTAGCCTACAAGCACCATGTTGTGAATTTGTGAACCGAGATGTAACGGTGCTGTAATGGAGGTGCAAGGGAGCTGTAACGGAGGTGCACGCAGCTGCCACAAAAAGCTGTAACTGAGGCGTAACGAAGAGCTGTTGCGGAGGCTCTCTAGCAGGCGTATCTGGAATGTGTAAAACACAACCGCCCCAAACTTGTTACAGGGCGACGAATCCTGGTCATTAACCAGTAGCCCAAGGGTGCATCACTGAACGGGGATACACCGTCGAATTTAGTCTGCCGAATGAAACGCGGGGACACGCTTGACGTCGGGGACATTGATGCTTCGGATCACCAGCATTCCCTGGGAATCCCTTGCAATGATCATGAAGCAAGATACGAGAGCAACGTTCAATGCACCGTTGATGGCTGACGGAGAAACACAAAATCCAACGCTGCTGTAGCACTCCGAGAGCGAACCACTTCAGTCAAGACGCATCCTGTTTTGTTTCGGCTGAAATTCCGGCAGAGCTCTGGCCAGCGCCAATGTCCTCGAGAGAGAGACCACTGGTATTCAAATCAAAGACCCCTCCCCAACCGCTTTCGTCATAAATCCGACTCACCTTCCGGCAAAAGAAGCCCCTGCCAAAGAAGCTGGGGCTCAGCTTTCACAGCCTAGAGGGGTCGAAACGCCCTGAAGCCTGGCACCGCCAGGCCTCCTCGACCTGGCGACGTGTGAGCCCATCTGGGTCTTGCAGAAAGAGGCCTGGGCTGCTGGGCTGCTGGGTTTTCTTGCGGCTTTGTTGCCGTGGGGTTTCTGCGGCGCGGCGGTTACGTGGGCTAGGTGCTACATCGTGCTACAATTCTAACTTCGCTTTATCATCAGAGCCGGGCAGCGGTACCAATTTAGACGGCCCAGGTCTTCCTCGGGCTCCACCCATGTGACGTTACCGCCGAGCTCGCTTTCGTCCAAATCCTGCGTCTCATGCTTCAGAGTTTGGGGAAGATTAGAGCTGAAACGTGCTCATGAAGGCATTGACCGTGTGATGGTGTTGGGATGTTTTGGAGCTCATGCTAGCCGGAGGGGGATCTGGACTCCACGTCGGTCCTCATCGGTGAAGTTCACCGCCGAAGCGCTAGCGGCCAAATCTTCAATCAACAAACCTCGCATGCCACTCAAGCTTTGAGATTCATGAAAATCATGCATACGGATAGGAACACCCAGACCCCCACTCGGAAGAAGTGACAGCACCATCTCCACCAAGCCGCTTGCCGGAGTGCTCTGCTCGGCAAGGCTGGACTTGCCATAAATAAGAAAATGGGTGAAGAAGTGGCTTGAATTGCTGGCCAAAGGCGTTTCTGGAGGAATCACCAGCTCCTCGCGAAAAGGAAGAAACCCCCTTTTGGCCGCACGAGGCCCATTCAGCAAGCCACTGATAGGCCTAAACGGGTCAAAGCGTTGTTGGCCTAGTGCTCTGCATTTCGTCATGTGGCGTCACGTCTGCTTCCGAGCTTCTGTCGTGCCAACAGGGATGGCAGCAAAAAGCACGCGCTCGACGATCTCAAGTGCACTGCCGCCGCCCTGGGAGGCAGGTGGAGGTTCGAGTGCAGGTTCCACAGCAAGCTTTCCGGAGCGAGCCCAAAAACAATGCTACGGGCGCAGAGCCAGCTCGTACTGTGGAAGAAGTGCTCCAGGCTCCAGAACCACAATTTGCTTCAGGGCTTTCGGCTCCAAAGTTTTGGCCTGGGCTCGGGAGCTTGTGCCGAAAACCAAGCGGCCCGCGCCGGGGCTGTGCCGTTGTCAGAGGTGTCTTCTGCGATTGCCAGGTAGACCTTGGTAGCCGCGTGTGTAATTTTTTGGTGCTGGTATGCATTCCAGTATAAGCCTTGCAATTGGAAAAGATCCGTCGAAGGCGGAAGCCTAGCCTTGCCTGAATTCCAGAAAGCCTCTGCGGAGAAACGTTTCGCATCTGCAGGTGGGGAGCCCGATAAATGTCCACGTAGCGCAAGTCCTCCGACTCTGACCATGTCAGGTTCCCTCCCAGATCCTCTTGGTCCAAGTCGAAGTCAGAGAAACCTTAGGTGGACAGGCTACAAAGCCAAGTAGGCTCAGACCTGCTGCTGGACCCAGGACTGTGCACACTTCGACGCGTTGTTCTTCATGGTCTATATAAGCTTGTAAAACACTGCGGCCAAGCGGCTGAGATTCAAGGCAGTCACTGCCGAATCTGAGATAGCCACGGACGCAGGAGTTGTCCTGCCCGCTGATGCTTGGGGATATGTGGATTACAGCAGCGGTTCACCGCACTGTCCGAAACGGTGGGCTTCAAAGGTACAATGCTTGAAACGATTGCGGTCCATGTGGAAAATTCATGGATCGATTTCAAGAAAAGTGTTGGGCGATGGGCTCGAGGAAGTATAGGATCCAGAGTATATTATGAGAACAAAGCATGAACGAGAAATCTTGCAATCAGATCTTGGCAAACACTGCCTAACGATGATCGTGGCGGGTCATTTGAGTCATTTGGCACCGAACTCTTGTAGCCAAGCAACTGTTCAGCCAAGGGCGATTTGGTGTACACCAGCCTGGTTCACACGAGCACAGCTGCCTTGGAGCATGGTTTATGTAGCTGCCGTGCAAACCGGGTGGCAGATGCTTGAAGGCTTCGACCTTTGTGTTCACCAGGATCTCCTGATGAGTGAAGAGCTGCCAAAGCAAGAAAGGACGAAAGGAAGAGCCGGGCAGTGCGGAGCAAAGTTCCCGGCCCTGCTTCTCACAGACACTGACACTGAGGAAAAAAAGGGAAGCTCCTGAAAGGCAGCAGAGGGATCCACCACCGACGCCAGCTTCCTGCCATACCCGGCGTCACCTGAAAGCTTCGATCGAGAACCGATGGGATGGGCAAAGGAAGTGCCTTAATCAGGACTGATGGGTGTTTCGACTCTCGACGGTTGGGGATTTCAGCACTCTGGGAACGCAGCCCCTTAGATGCTTAGCCCTTTCACTGACCCCAAACCACATGAGAAGCAGCTGCAGCCCAAGCGCTCGCGGCTAAGTACACGTAGTACGACTCCACCAACCTGTCTGTTGTACTGGGCTGGACCGACGGATTCAATCAGCACACAAGCTTCTCACGTCTGCAAATTTTCTTCAATGGGTCACACTTGTAGAGTGATCTCTTGGCTTCTGTGCTTTGTTTCTTCCCGTGAAGGGGACATTTGAAGTCCCTAAGCCGGAATTGAGGACCCTCGATCCCAAACCCCCTCCTGAATGCTGAAACCCATATTGGTTCTTGCATTCGCTCAAGCCACGACTACTCTGACTACTCCAACTGCCGGCCACAGGGCTCGATGTCGCTTGATGGGAGCGACCATTCCTGTGTTGGAGTCGTTGCTGCTACGAAGGCTGCCGTGGCTACAACGATGGCCTCCGTCTGTGTTGCGATCTCTGCTAGCCGTGTCATCAATGCTGCGGTTACGAATGCAATCTGGCATGGAGAACTGAGGGACCTTCACTGCTTATTATACTGCGTGACATTTCGATCACAACCCTTGCGGAGTGACATGGCGCATCATGGCTGCTTTGCTGCCAAGGAGCCAGGGTCCCGCCCAGGTCGCCTACATCCAAGTCCAGGTCCGTGAAACTCACATTCGAAACCTCAGCGACTTTGACCAAGTCCCTATGCCCTCATGCCGCTATTCACTGGGACGAACACCTCATGATGCTTCAACCCAGCTGCGCTGCTCACAGAATCAACGATGGGAAGGGCCATGGGCGTTGTTTGTTCCACAAGCTCTGACCTCGCGAAAATGGTCCTGGGCTGCTATCGACTGAACCTTTACAGGGTTGCATTCTTTCGCAAAGGCTCCGTGAGTGAGAAAAACCTTTCCTGAATCCAGCAAGGCGTCAGGTGCGTAAAGGAAAGAAGAGGCGTGTCCGGTGGAATGGCAAAGTCATGTGTCCCAACTTCAACGACGCCAACCAAGGACCTCGCGGGTCAATTCGAACTCTTCTTGAGAGCCAGACTTCGTGCTACATCCATCAATCCCTGCACTTGCTTGGTTTTCCTTGCCTCCGCTCCAATTTTTCCGGGCTGGTCAAACGATGTTGCATTTGTCTGTTTTGTGCAGCTGTGCTGCCGATTTCGGCCAGCTTGATCTTCGGCCAGGTACACCAAATAGTCCTTAGCCACCATGATCAGCGATCCTACAGGTGCTTTCGTCCGGGGATGCATGGATCATCTCTTTCCGCTTGCAAACTCAACCCTATTCCCTGAAAAGCCTGAGCTTATCCGTGGAGTAGTCAAAGGTCGGCATTGCGTGCCTTCGAATGACAAGAATCTGATACCTCACTGGTGTCTGCTGGCGGATACCAAGTCAGATTGCCGCCAATCTCAGACTCGTCCAGGTCCTCGTCGATGAAGCTCATGTTCGCCGCCATGGCAAACCTCACACGAGTAGAGTTTCTTGCTCAAGTTGAGTGGCATTTTGGGACAGCAACCGACAGACTTGACTTGCTCCTGACAGTCCGGCGGCTCGTCAAAGAACGCAAGGGCAGCAGGAGTTGTTTGCTCCTTGACAGATCAGGACAGGTACTGCGGGTACATGGTAGTGGGCCGCTCACTGAAGTTCATGCGCTAGGACAAGGAATCTGGCATCCGACCAACCAAAGCCATCTGCCTACTAACATACTCGTACCGGAAAATGCTTCAACGAATACCTTTGAAATTATTGAAATACCTCTTCAGGGTAGAAACCTCCCGCCCACTGCTTTGCGATGCTGGCACATGTTGTCTCGGCGCTCCAAGAGCCCTGAACTCAGATTACTTCGTCTAATGTTGTGGAGAGCTTCCGCCAATGTAGACTTGGTGAAGATGGTGAAGTGGTTGAAGGCCAGGCGCAATGTATCTGGAGGCACCTTCGCAGGGCATACAGGGCAGGGCCACACGTTCTGTTCTTTCATGTTCTCGCTCTGCGTGGGCTCAAAGACGATTGAGGACGGAAACAAAAGCCAATTTCGCCCACAGCTTCTGAAATCCTGTATAGCGGGAAGTCACTAAGTCTCGGCCGGCCTACATCGTCCATCATAACCGGATTTCTGGTGCCCTCCAGCCTCCTGGGACGTTGCTTCCTTGGGCAGCTCCTGGCCAAGCTGCGACCGGCGGATGCCGAAGGCGTTTTCGGCCAGGTAGATCACGTACCTTCAGAGTCGGCTCATGCCAGGCTCAGGATGGCTCAGAGCTAAACCTCGAACCTTCGGACCTCACGGCCTGTCAAAGCCTCGAGTTCTGCTGCCGAAATTTACCAAAAAAACCCTGACATCGGGGGGGCTTCAAGCAGATGTCAGTTTTCCCGAAGGTCAGCCCTGCCCCCGGGAGAAGCTTCGGACGCGGCAGTCGGTCACCCCACGGTCGGAAAAGGTTCTCCTACGACCCGAACAAAGCTTGAAGAATTGTCGCTTCCTGGTTTCCGCTCAACCTAAGAAAGCGAAAACAAAACAAACACAAGGCAAACAGAAGACGACCCTCTTGGCCGCCGTGGTCCAAGCCGGGAAAGCAATATTGTATAGGGAACACAGCACAGGGAAAAGCAATAACTAGGGGAGGGAGGGGGCGAGGTGCGGGGGGGAAACCAAAGTGATGCGACATGTTTAAAGGCTTTTTTGGTTTCGTTTAGGTTTATTGTGCTTGGTGGCATGCTGAACATCAGGTTGTTTGACTTCGTCCTAAGTAGTGTATTCGGAGTGCTTCAGAAATCCTGCAACCAAGGTTTTGGGTTGGCTTAGGTAATGGCCTTTCCAACCCCATGGACTCAAGGACTTTGTTAGGCAAGTCCGTGAAGCATTTCGTTTCCACTTTCAAGAACAAGACTTCTTCCTGACCTGCACTTTACACCGTCACCCTGCGTGACAGTGCTCGGATCAGCCCGGAATCACAAGTGCAGCAACAGTGATCGTGCGAACATCTGAAAATACACTCCGGCCGAACCTCTCTGTGCAGTCCAAGCAGCACAGATACCCGCTCCGTCAGACGAGGGGGCTGCCAAGACAGCGTGCCTCCAAGATGATCAAGATCCAAATCCTGTGTTTGGGGTGCAAGTCTCAGTACGGTCGCTTAAAAGAGTTCCCAGAGTTCCAGAGGGACGGTAGCGGTCTCTTTCAGAACATCAACCTGTTCACATCCTTTGCGGCGCTGAAGCCTTCGGTCTTGCGAGGGTCAGAGTTCAGAGTCCAGAGTTGACTCTGTGTGCGTGCGTGTGATGTGGGTTGGTGAGGGGGCTGGCTCGCTCGTTCGCGTCTGTGCTACGAACTGGCTCGATAGATCCATGCCGTCCGTTGCGACCTAGACTGCTACCTATCTCGAAAAGTCTCGGCTCTTTTTCGACTTTGGAAGAGCCCTCTGTGCGAAGGCAAGGCAGAGAAGAGATGTCACACAGAGCACCGGCTCCTGCCCTCGGAACTGGATGTTGGAGACGCTGGCACTCAAGTCGTGGACCTCTCGGCTCTGCTGAGAGCACACATCTTCTATACGAAGAGCAAAAAGGCAAGGGGTTAAAAAAGCGGCTAATAACCTTACAAAAGGCATCTGCTTTCTGAAAGACTTCAAATCGGGCTTCTGGTTGGCACTCATGGCTTAAGCCATGATGGCTGCAAGGCGAATTCCATGGGAACAGCCCTGACGAGCCTGGAGGAAAGCCGGTGTCGTTTGCTCCTCCAAACTGGATGCCGCATAGACCAAGAAGTAGCCTGGAGGGCTCGTGGACACAATTAACAAAAAAGGCCTCGCTCAGAGACTTGGAGCCTCACGGAGACAGGCGTAGAGACACCCAAAGCCAAGCAGCTGTAGGGTGAGAGTTGCATGTCGGGTGGCACTTCAAACGAGCTGTTGCCTCAGGTTGCTCCACGTGCAGTATCCGCATGAGCAGCGGAGTGTGCAAACCGGAGCGGGCTTGTGCTTGTGCATTCGGGACCCAAGGGTTCGGAGCCTAGCGACTGAGAAAAGTATTGCAAAGGCGTGCCTAGCCCTCGAGCCCTCGGGTCGGGGTCGGAAGGGATTTTGCCCTTGACCCGAAATCGTCCCAGAGGTACTCGGCGGTAAGCCTCGGACCGACGGAGACATTTCCAAGCTCGGGCCCGCGACACCAAACCTCAGTGCATGGCGCACGAGACGCGGAATCCCTTTGACCTTGGGATCTGCGGTCGAGAGTACCAACAGATTTTGGGGGAAAGGGCTTGCATGTCGGGCCACAGACAGGTTTCCCCACGCCGAACTGACAGATGCCAGTCGACGCGAGTCCTCCCAGTCGCGACGCGAACACACACTAAACAGAGGTCGAGATGTTCAGAGATGTTCCATGCCTCCCGACGCCTGGCTATTTGGCGGCAACAGGCCGATTGCCAACCCTGCAACACTTTGGAGCAACCTGAATCTGGAAACCATTTAAAGATCATGATCATGGTGTAAAGTGAAACTGTCCTCCATTGCATCGGAAACATCTTGTCCATCTGAGGAATCGTCAATTTGGCCGGAAATCCTCATGATCGCATGAAATTAGTGCATGCCCTCCAGTCCGACTCAGAAAGGTCCCATTGCACAACGTCAGCGCGAACAAACGTCCTCAACCTTCGGGTCTCATTGACAGGGTCAGAATCGTTCCAAGCAGTAACCTTGGCCAGAAAGAACAGTAATCTGCGAATCACGACAAGAACAACAAAGCGACGGCCGTCGGTGGCAGTAGCAGCAGCAACAACATTCAAATCATCATCAGCCACAACATCAGCATCCGCAGCAGCACCACCACTTCAAGCTGGTACCGTACAACAATCCTCCACCTCCGCCTCCTCCTCCTGCTACTACCACTCCTCCTCCTACACCTCCTCCTCCTGCCCTCCTGCTACTACCACTCCTCCTTCTCCTCTACCTCCTCCTGCTACGACTACTACTACTGCTGCCGCTGCTGCTGCTACTCCTACTCCTACTCCTACTCCTACTCCTACTCCTACTCCTACTCCTACTCCTACTCCTACTCCTACTACTACTACTACTACTACTAGTAGTTACTACTACTACTACTGCTACTGCTACTGCTACTACTACTACTACTACTACTACTACTCCTACTACTCCTACTACTCCTACTACTCCTACTCCTACTCCTACTCCTACTCCTACTCCTACTCCTA